GTAGGGGCTGGAGGAGGTTACAGAGATTGGGAGGGGGTGTAGGGCTGGAGGAGGTGATAGAGATTGGGAGGGGGAGTACGGCTGGAGGAAGTTACAGAGATTGGGAGGGGGTGTAGGGGCTGGAGGAGTTTATAGAGACAGGAAGAGGGTGATGGAGGGATTTGTAAACGAAGAGTGGGAAGTTTATAATCGAGGTGTTGCTGGACTGGGGAGCGGTGTAGGAGAGGGAGGGAGAGGAGGGTGACTGGGGAACGGGACTCGGTGTGAGTTCAGAGACGGGGAGTTAGTGACGTTTTGGATAAATATCTCTCAAATAGCGAGCGGTGACAAGGTCGGGGAGTTTAATTTGGGAAAAGGACAATCTCACTCACAGAGCACATCGATCCTGAAACTGTTGGAGGTCATATTTTCCACTTTGCAATAATAATTCCCAGAATGCGATGATGTGACAGATACAATAGTCAGTATTTTGTTCCTCTCATTGAGAACTGCTGTATTCACACTGTCCTTATACCAGGTGTAGACAGCTTCTGGATTACTGCTGGAGTTACAGGTCAAGGTAACCTGGTCTCCCTCCTTCACCACTCCCTGTGGCTCATTATGAACAATGGTAACATGTTGTGGGACATCTGTAGAAGGAATTGCAGCTCGATTTAGGCCAGAGAGAGAGAGATAAAGCTGTGGAACATTATGAAACATTCTCCCAAATCCCCTCATAAATGCTGCCCATGGGCATTGACATTATTTCAGAGAGAGACAACCAGAATTCTTCAGAATCACACCCTAAAACAGGCCATTCACCCCCTCTGATACAGGTTTGTCCCCTGCTCCTTGTGGGAGTAAACTTCACATTCTCTCCCTGACTTGCTGTTGGAGAGAGTCTCACATTCTCCCTCAGCACTGACCCTCCGACAGCGCGGCGCTCCCTCAGCGCTGACCCTCTGACAGTGCAGCGCTGACCCTCCGACAGTGCGGCGCTCCCTCAGCTCTGACCCTCCGACAGTGCGGCACTCCCTCAGCACTGACCCTCCGACAGTGCGGCACTCCCTCAGCACTGACCCTCCGACAGTGCGGCGCTCCCTCAGCACTGACGCTGACATTTTTGGAGCGCTGGGCTCCCTCCGTCCCTCCTCCTCTCCCTCTCTCCCAGGGTTTGAGAATGACAGACTGACTCACCACGTCCTTCTCTGTTCACTGTGCTGACTCTCCGCTCCATTTGAGTTACTGCCTCTGTTTCCCCTGAAACACAAGGCAGGAAATCACATCGCACGTTTCACACGGTGATCCCAGAAATTCCGGCCAATGGGGCTCTCTCTCTCTCTGTGCTGTCAGTGAGTAATGTCTGTTCAATTGAGAACTCAGCCATATAGGAACAGACGGAGGCCATTCACCCCCTTGAGCCTGTTCTACCCTTCAATGGGCTCAATACTAATCTGAGGTGTCATTCCATATCCCTGCTTTTTGGCCCTTCCTACCTTTACTGAACAAAAATGGAGGTATTTTGGACCTAAAACAACTGATCCCGCATCCACTGCTGTTTGTGGAAGAGAGTTCCAAACCTCATAGCGTGTTAAAGTACTTCCCAACATCTCTCCTGGACGCTCTGGCCCTCATTCCCAACCTCCACTCCTTCCTTCTTCAATCTCCAAACAGTGGAAATAGTTCCCTTTGATCGACTTGAGAGGATGCAGAAAAGATTTACAAGGATGTTGCCAGGGTTGGAGGGTCTGAGCTACAGGGAGAGGCTGAATAGACTGGGGCTATTTTCCCTGGAGCATCGGAGGCTGAGGGGTGACCTTATAGAGGTTTATAAAATCATGAGGGGCATGGGTAGGGTAAATAGACAAGGTCTTTTCCCCAGGATAGTGGAGTCCAAAACTAGAGGGGCAGAGGTTTAAGGTGAGATGGGAAAGATTTGAAGGGAACATGAGGGGCAACTGTTTCACGCAGAGGGTGGTGCGTGTATGGAACGAGCTGCCAGAGGAAGTGGTGGGGGCTGGTACAATGACAACATTTGAAAGGCATCTGGATGGGGACATGGATAGGAAGGGTTTAGAGGGATATGGGCCAAATGCTGGCAAATGGGACTAGATTAATTTCGGATATCTGGTCGGCACGGACGGGATGGGCCGAAGGGTCTATTTCCGTGCTGTACAGCTCTATGACTACATGACGCTGTCTTATCCTGTTAATATCTTGAAGACTTCAAGCAGACCAACCCTTAACCTAGTAAATTCTAGAGAAAACAGGCCTCATTTGTACAATCTGTCCTCCAAACTTAACCCCTTAAAGTCCTGGTATCATTGTCGTAAACCTATGTTATGCTCCCTCCAAGGACAGTGTATCTTTCCTGAGGGGTGCTGCCCAGCTCTGCTCCATGTGAGGTCTAACCAGGGGTTTGTTTAACTGCAGCATAACTTCTCCATCCAGTCCCAATGACTACTTCCTGATGGCTCTCACCTCCATCATCATCAAGTGCTTTGAGGGGTTAGTCATGGCTCACATCATCCCCAACCTCCCCAGATTGCTTTGATCCCTTGCAATTCACTTACAAGGTCCACAGGAGATGCCATCTCCCTTGCCCTACACCCATCCCTGGAACTTCTGGATAATACAAATACCATTTCCCAAGTCCGACACCAATGCCTGGAACATCTGGGTAATAAGGATACCATTTCCTGAGCCCTACACCCCACCCCTGGAACATCTGGATAATACGGATACTGTTTCCTGAGCCCTACACTCATCCCTTGAAGATCTGGATAATAAGGATACCGTTTCCCAAGCCCTACACCCATCCCTGGAACATTTGGGTAATAAGGATACCA